GTCTGTGGGCAAACCCCGCAACAATAAGAGTCCGAACAGACTCTTCGGGAGTATGAGCCACTTTGTGGAGCTCCATGTGGAACCTATCTATATAAAATTGGAGGGGTTCATCGCTTTACTGCCGTATATTACTTAGGTAGCTTAGCGGCATTGAGAACTTCCTGTTCACCTGGAAGTGCCTCACAAATGTCGAGCTCATTTGAGGCCATGAGCCGACCAATCCTGCTAGAAGCGACCTGAGCCAGTGCTTGGCATGGGTGGTAAGGGTTATTGCCAAGCAACGACATTTTGCCAAGTCAGAGACTTGGTGGAATTCCATGAGATCGTTGAACTCGTATAAATGATCCTGCAGATCAGAATTCCCATCGAATGCTTGCATGTCGGGCATTCTGAATCTCGATGGGAGAAGGGTAGCTAACACTGCCGCATAAAAGGGAGACTCCTCTGCGACCTGCCCTTGCTCATTCTGCTGAGCCTTAAGCTAATCCAGAGCTTACTGTAGTTCTTCAATCTGAGGCAGCAGAGCTACCTAGGGATCACTTTCCGCAATGTGGGTTCGACCCTCACGGTTGCGGTTAAGGAAAGACCGCAAATCGGACTCTTCCTCACCTCAGCTGGAAGCTCCGACCAATCTTGGCACACGTTGGCTAGAGCCGTGTGATTCGAGGAGTCTTCCGTACCTCTACAATGGTACGAACCGACCCGCAAACCATGAGAATCCCATACACGACGATGATCGAAGTCGTCATTTTGGCGATATTGCGAATCTCCCCGCCTTGCACTTTTGTGGGAGTGCTCGTGTGACGTGATGCGGGACGGCTCATGCTGCGACATGTTGTTGAGTCGCAATGCCATGAGTATTCTACGCGGGGCGCGATTAGTGTTTGCTAGTCCCTCGGAGCCCTTGGGCTCGCCGTGCACCACTTGCTTTCCCTTTCTCTGACGCGATACAGTGCGCGCGGTATGGGCTTTCGCCTTTTTCTACGCTTTCACGTGACCTGTGGGCGTTTTTTGTAGTGGCACTGACTCATTGGATTCGGGTGGCATGACCCGATCCAATTGGTTTAGCCTTTGGCGGACCGTTTGAAGAGTATTATTAAACCTCTCTAGGTAACTCATAACAACTAGGTTGAGCCGCGAGCTTGAAGGAATATCCCCCGTGGTATTCTGCTAGACTGGCGGCATTTTGGGAGAAGTGTCCTCCTGGATCTGGGGGATTTCTTCATTGCCATGATTGGTTCGCTCAGATTCAAAACCGCGAGCCATTTGTTGTTGTGGGACCGATTAGTCAGAGATTTTTCTGATGAAGAGTAGGTACTAAATCAGGCCCTCCTTCTAGCGTCAAATTGTTGATGCTTGATTTTGACACCAACTACTCGCACGTGTAAAATTCTAAAATGACTTGGAAGTCACACGTGATATGAGGGGATTGAATCAAGTAAAAGGTGAAGAGCAATATTCAAAGTGGTTCAAATGCTCTAAAGCGAATCCTACATCCACTGCTATTGTATTAATAAGAGAGAGTGATCAGGTCACGTTCAGTGAGTTGAGTTACAGTTTAGAGAGAGAGAGAGAGAGAGAGAGAGAGAGAGAAAGCTATTTCAGTGTAAAATCAGCTAATCCCCTCAAATGGGAGGGAAGTCTTCTATTTATAGTGGGAAAGTTTAAGGTAATGAATATGAAAGTTGCAAGCGGGTAGGTGCCATGCAAATCTTTTCTTTTCGTCCCATTGATCACTTGCCCTAAGGATTTCCTCGATTAAAATAGGGCTTTGACACGTGGGCGATCTCCAGCCGCTTGCTGGCCTGGTACTCACTTGCTGCACTGACAGGAGCCATGCCACTTGTGCTAGGCACGACGTGACTGCATCTGGACGGTGCAGAAACCTTCTAAACTCTGACTATCCTTTATTGACGAGGCTCCACGTCAACCCTACTTTTTCCAGCATAACACATTTAAAAAAAAAAAAAAAAAAAAAAAGATTAATGTGAATTAATGTTAAAAGAAAAAAAATAAGTTTTAACATAAAAAGGGAATAAAAATATGATGCACCTAAATGTAACAAAAGAAAAAGAGTTTTCGAGGTTTCAATCTTTCATAGGAGGCCCAGTTTTAGTTGGTTCTGGAAAAATCCCATTCATGCAGATTTAGAGCATCGACATTGATTAAACAGTCTGCATTCCACCACTTTTACACAAATTAGAGAGAGGCCATGCTTCCTACTTCTGGATCTTCTACAATTTACATAAAGCATGTAGGAACTTCAATACACATTTATTTAATTAAGTAGTAAATTTAATTTATATTTTTTTTTTTAGTAGTTGGAGAATATAATATATTCATAGTAGATTTTTTTTTTTTTAATTGAGGGTGTCCTAACTAGCTTACGTGCACCTCAACTAATCTCCTATGACGCTAAAACTATCGACCAGAACTCCAGTGGTTACCCCTATTAGCACTCAATGAGGGACTTGAACTCAAGATCTCTTGAGTAATACACCTAAGAATCCCTATCGAACCACTCGATCACTCAGAGATAATTTATACAAAGTAGATTTCATAAAAATAAACTGGAGATTCTTGGAAAGAAAAACAATGAAAGATAAGAATCTCATCCATGTGAGTGAAAGTAGTTATCCATCTCCTAGGTGGGGACTGCTGGGAGTGACCACATCCCTACTTCTTCTGGGATCATCATATGTCCTTCCATGCGGAGAAAATCTGAGTGTGTATGTTACTCATCTCATCTTTGAATGATTATAAATACATTCGATGTACGAAACCTTTTATATGCAACGTCATTTTATATGATTCGACAGCTCAGGCATCCTTAGTGGTCATGACAATAGGAACAAGCAATTGGAATCCATCATTGATTAAATCTCAATTCTAGTAGCTTTTTTTGTTATGTGGTTCTTCACTTATCAACTTCTTTTACAACGTTCTCTCACCCCTTTCACTGCTCCTACCTCCAAAAAAAATAAATAAACGAAATAGTATCTATATATATCTTAAATATATGAGTAATGCTAGAGGTATAAATAAATCATAGAAGGATTTTTATACAAAGTGATGTGGTTGGAAGAATTAATACAAAAAGTCAAACTCATCATGTTCACTTTCCGTTCATTTTTTGCCACATCACTCTGTACAGAAATATTTATAAGATTTCTTTGTAAGTCTAACATTGTTGATGTTGGATTTTGACACCAACAACTTCGCGCGTACAAAATGCTAAGAAGTCACATGTGAGCAGACTATAGCGAGTGGGTGAGGTACTATGATAATAGTAGCAAGCAAATACATAAAATAAAGTGGATAAGAGAGTTTTTATAGTGGTTTAGATGCTTAAAGTGAATCCTACATTCATTGTGGTTGTTCATATAAGTCTTTCTTTCTGATCGTTGCACAAATTTACAAGAGATTGCAATCTGCAATATGAGATTACAAGTGTTTGTGTTATAAGAGAATGTCAAGTCAGTCTCTTTCTAGTAGTGTGCCTTTGCTATTTTCTTTGTGAAATTCGTGTGTATCTAACCTCTATTTTATGAGGGGAAGCTGCTTATTTATACCCGTTTTGCTCAAGGTAATGATTACATTTTGTAAGTGGTTTGATGTCGTGAAGATCCTTCTTGTCTTCCCATTTGTTGAGAACTCCCACTTATATCTTTAAATTAAATGGGGTTTGGACAAGTGTGTGAACAAAATTCACCGAGACACAAATCCTTGAGGCGGATTGGATCTTAATAGCTATTTTCCTTTTACCTTTGGATACATGTCAAGTTTTGAAGGATAAAATGGTTTGTTAGATGTTGATTGATGCTTGATTACGTCAACATATGTCGGCTTTTATTTTTAGGCATAACAAACATTATAATCAATATATAACATGTAAAACCATAATATAATTAATTTGATTATTGAAGTTCTTGCATGATTCCATCTATTTAGGAAGGATGTCTATTCGTAAAATAAATAAATGTCAAAGAAAGTCCAATACCCTAGAATTTAGAAAAATGGTGGTAAGTGTTAATTAATTATAGTAATACAAACCAAATCCATAGTTGAGGAGACCAAGAAGCTTCAGGTGGACTGTTGGACACCTCATCAGATTAGATAAAATGTTAATTACTATTACGACTCAAATATTTTGCTTGCATGTGCCTGGAGTCCTTTTTTGGAAAACTCGAGTCAAAATAACTAATTGTCAACCAATTAAATTAAATTGATCCACTGGATAGCTTAAAATAAATTAATTAATTGTGAACTTTATGGTGATTCTAGCAGGAATCACGATGACCATTTCCATTATTCTGAGGCCACATGTCAGCATCGATGTGCACGCGTACTATGCTTCATTAGAAAATTATTCTGATTTTAATTTTTCGATGGCATTACACATTATAATAAAATGTCAAGTACATTTATCTTTCATTCTTTTTCAAACTTCGTATGGATGTATTTCAAGATAAAGAAAGCAACAATATAATAATACTAAACTCTGAAGCAACAGTATACCTTATTATACTTCCCTCCAGTGTTTGATATTAGAGTAACATTTACTCTAAAATTATTGATATTTAAGCAACTTTTACAAATATTTTAACATTTTCTTGACTTAATAAATGGATTTTGTTTATTTCTTTTTTTGATAATTGAAATATCCAAGCCAATTTATACGTATTTTTACTAATTCTCAAAGTTCATTAAACACCCTACAAGCCTAAAAAGTCTGAAAAACTACTATTATTATGATGAGTAATCCCAAGATTTAAATCTAAAAACTCAAAGAAAAGAATAAACTTCTCTAATTACCAGGCCAACCCCTTGAGATTGATTCTGTTTATTTCAAAAGCAAGAAAAAGAAAATAAAATATTTTTTATTATTATTCAGGATAATACTCTCTCTCTCTCTCTCTCTCTCTCTCTCTCTCTCTCTCTCTCTCTCTCTCTCTCTCTCTCTCTATATATATATATATATATATATGTCAAAATACTTTAAAAAAATAAGGACAGATAAATATATACCAACATTTTGATTGTTTAGAAACAATGGAACGTGGTAGTGTGTAAGTTTTGAAAAGGAGGGCCAATACATGTACTAGGGAAGCTCCTATGCTAAACAATATCATGTACTCGAGAGGCCCATAACCTCTCAAGTATGTGGCCTATGCTAGACTATATTACCCAACCGAAAAATCCACTTGCATGTTGGGCGATCCCTGGGCTGTTTTATCCGACACACGGAAGAAATCCACTTCGTCTTCTCCAATTCAGCAAGGGAAGGGAAGCCTACAAAATAAAATAGTTAAAGAAGCAAAAAATTGATCAAAAGAAAATTAGAAATGTCCAGCAGTACCCTTGCGTGTTGACTTCGCATTAATTATTGTATCAATATTAAGGTTGCTTTCTCGGTCTCGTCTCTTTTATCAAAATGCAAAAACATTGTGATAAGCTTAAACTATTGAATTGGGAGATAAGATTTATCAATAATATTACACTTACAAAGATTTTCATACAAAGTAAGTTGACAAAAATGAATGGAAGAATAAAACAAAAAATCAAACTTATTAAATTTATTTTTCTATTCATTTTTTATCACATCACTTTGTATGAAGATCTTTGTAAAATACTTTTGTAAGTGTAGTATTCTTCAAGATTTATTTATATATGCATGACCCTATACTGATAATTAAGCTTACCCTAATTTGAGAGAAGTATCAGAACTGTCATCCGCTGTAGGCGGGCCGCTGCTGGAGCTGCAAACATTAGTAGCAGATTCTGATGACCCAATACTGATAATCAAGCTTTTTCGCTTATACAAGTTGGCCACCTGTTCCAAATTTGAAAGATCCCTCGCCATTTTCAAATAAAATGAAATAAATAAAATTATTATAATAGTCCACCAAAATGAACTCTTATACCTTCGGTTTTAGTCGTCTATTCTCCTCCAATAGTTGTGCTCCCTGCAAATAATACCAAGTTGAAAACTCAAGATAGAACTCTTGACTTATGATATCTTGATAATTAACAGCAAACTGGAGAGGTCTTCAACCGAAGAGCCTTGATATATGTATAAAGTATTACCCACCATGGAAATTAAAGAACTTAAGCTATAGCTCACAACTGTGTCCTTAAAATTATAATGCAATCTGAAAATTTGCATGTACATTTGAAAATTGCTAATATTATAAATAGAAAGATCTTTTGTGGAAAATTTTGATGCCAAAAAATTAAAGTCATTATATATATAAAAAATAAAAACTCTCAAAAGTGAAAGTCCACATATTTTAGTTGATTCATGTATTATAGATAAACATTATTTTCATATCATCTATTTAAACATACTGTATTTCCATGAATATCTCCTCTCTGACTTTGAGATGATCTCAATTTAAGATATCCTTATGGAGAAACTTGTTTGTTATCCTTATAGTACACTATTGCTTCTACCACAAACAGTGACTGCTAGCTTTAAATTAGTAAGAAAGAACATGAACAAAAGGCATAGATTTGTAGTTTACATTCTCCAAAAGAAAAAAATATAATTGATAGAATTAAATATTTGTCTTCTAACCTTTCTTTCAAGTGAAGAGATCTTGTTCATAATCAGTTCACTCTGATAGGGAAAATAAAACTCATATGAACACCTGCATGAATCATGGTAGATATATATACTTAGTTTGCAATAAAATTAAGAAAAATGTAAACCTTTGTTTCAAGAACACGCCCAAGTCCTGATTCAAGCATTTTTTCCAGTTGCTGTAATTCCTCTATATTCAATCCTTTAAGATCTTCTCCTCGCATTTGTCTATTATAAAAGGTAATATTAATAATAAAGGAATTTTAGCTAACTTACCAAAGTAAAAATAACAATATAACTACATTAAAATATATACCGTAGTTCATGGCTCTTATCAGCAACTTCCTTACTCAATCTGATGTGGTTGCTATTTTCCAGCTATATAAGAATGGAATTTGCCAGTCAGTTCTGATATGTAAAGCTTGACAATTACTGGGAAGAAGAAATTTATATATGTGATGCCAAGTTAGCCAATGCAAGTGAATTGGAAATCTCTTCCATTGCAGTTAAAAGTATGCTTAATTAAAAAGTTAAATTAGTGAACCCCAAGCCTTTTGGAAAATTCATCTAAGAAATTCTAATGGCATCCCTATGTCATTTTCCTTTAGTCATTTAGAACCTCTTAAAAACGTACATAGCAAATCATAGTTATGTTATGATAATCTAACAAAACTGATCAAATAAGTTACCTGCAGTTCAAGCGATGGCTGGTCAAGTTTTCCGATGTTATTAGAGTGCAGATTATACCTTGAAATCATGTCCTTCATGCTTCACAACAAAATTTATATACTAAATATGTTAGACAGGTCAGAACTCATAGCAAAATTTGCCATGTATAGGATTAGTTAAAGCACTGTTTGGAACTATATGGCAAGCGAGGTTTCAATTAATTGCTAGAATAAAGATCCCATCAGCTGGGAAGGCATCAAACCCTATTCATAATATATATGATCTAAATAAAATTATAATGATGTTTAATCAAACTGAACTATCTATTCACCAAATGACATGTTTGTTATCTGTCATTACATCCAATCATCCATCATCCACCCCATATATTTAAGCATTTGTAATTAGTTATAACGTAATACAATCATTCAACTGACATATTGACTGATAATTTAAGTGAAAATCAAGAAAACCTAGCCATTTGAAAATTTACAAGAGATGAAAAGTAATATCCAATTAATTTAAATAACAAAGTTCACTCACCTTAATTTAGCAACTTTATAACACAATGTTATGTTCTAGTGAATAAAAATCTGAACAAACTGTAAAATTAGAGTAAAAAGGTGTCAACATGCCCCAGAGATTCTGTTACTAACAAGTAACAAAGGACATAATATGATATAACCACCTTGCCTGCATAATATGATTCCCTTTCAACGATGGCATGATGAAGAGAATGTTGGAGTTGTTGACTACTTCAGCATTAATGGGTAACGGAGACGCACTCGGGGGTTTTGAGCTTTTCCATGTATAACCGTTGTAGAATTTCTTTTAAGTTATTAATTCCTTTTTGGGTTGGGCTTAGGAATAGAATCCTTGTAAAACTAGGTTTAATCTCTTAAACCTAGTATATAAACATACTTTTCTCTTGTTATACGTGTTAGAGCAATTCATTCATTGTAAACGAAAGAGGTAGGGCATATTGTAATAATATTGACTCAACTGAACGTAGCCTACATTGGGTGAACCAGGGTAAATCGCACGTATTATTTTTTCTTTGTTTACTGTTTGATTTGTTTTACTATTATATTTTGTTCCTGTTGTTGTCTCTATTTCGTTCAGAGAAGAGCTTCTGTTATTCAAATGTATTGACCGAAAGGCTATAAAGAGAGGTGAAGTCACATATGAAGGAGGATCCCAGTTTAGGAGAACACTTGGCTAAAGCAAATATATTATTCATATTTTTATCTACTACAGCTCACATCAAATGGCCAAGGCAGCAACTTCTTATTTATAAACCAACTTAGAAATTTAACACATGCATTTCAATCAAGAGACTTAACCATGAAAACATAAAGACATGGTAATAGTTTATATGATAATTTATGTCATAGGGTTAATCACATTCAATGGAATTTAGAAATGCATATATTGATCCCCAAATTCATGGTAGAAATCAGAATTGATGTATTGCTATAGCAATCAACATATAGGTGCCGCATCCAATACGACTGACACACAATTACCCAGTGGATGATGCAGCAAGGATTATAAAGGAAAACCATGAAGATCATTGTTCAGCATAATAATAGAAAGAATTAAGAATTGCTATATAATGGAAATAGAGTTCTTAGGAGGATATATAATTTTGTATACTGGATATTACAAAGCCTATTGAAATCGTTTTCTTCATTATTTAATCTAACAATAATTATGCTTCCAACAAAGTAATAAGTTTAACCCTGCAGCTCTAAGAAATAAGATTAATATCAAATTAATTATAATAATACACATGGTAACCGAATAAACAGCTCAAGCAAGATCATGTTCACAACTATCACCTCAATAAACAGGTAACTGAATAAGAAATAGGAAAAACAAGTGATATTGTAGTGAAACATAATACCACAGAGGTACCAAGTTATCTATACAACCAACCAATGCTTTTACACCACCTATGAAAATTTCTCTCTCATCAATCTTTATCATAAAATGTGATCAAATTATTAATTTTAAAAACTATTTAACAACGGTATATTGATTAGTAATATAGATGATGCAGTACCTCTATGGTATCATAGACATTCTTAATCATGTTAATACCTTTTACAATTAAGTGTCAATATACATGATTTTTCCTTACAAATAGACCTTTCCCATTGAATCCGGTTTGAGGCCATGGAGACCTACTCTTCAAAAGTAATATAAGAATTTACTCCAAACTCAAATCTACCATAAGTCCACAACATTTTACCCTCACAAGGCCACATGCAATGAAAGTTCTCAAAAGCTTGTTTATACTTATAATCAAACTATAAAATTTTGGCTTAAATTGAAGAAAGTTAAATTCAACTTGTTAAGAATAGAGCACATTCATGCATATAAGACTCATTGATGACTAATGTAAGGTCAGTATAAATTTTGAACAACTTTTACATGGTTACAATCAATCTTCAATATCTATAATTATTAGAACTTGACTCAAGTTTGCACTTAAGAAGAATATATATATATATAGACACACACACAACTTATGAGATCAACTGATCAACTCAAGTTCAAGCTTAAAAAACTTACAAATATGATATACAAGTCCAGGCTAAACAACCCAAAACTGAACCAAACATTTTCAAACCCTTGTACAAAAAAATCTCATTAGAAGGTCAATTAGCTAGACTCTTTCACCTTAAATGAACTAACATCGAGCTTAATTCAGAAGGTCAACCAGAGTCTTTCACCTTAAACCAACATCCAGCTTGATTTGAGCTTGGTTAATTCCTTTATTAGCCACATTCAAGTAAAAAGTAAAATTAATATTGGCCGGCTCGGTTTTGGTGACCAACTTAATCATGTTTATTAGAATGATAACACTTATTATTCAAATCAGCTACCCTTTGAAACCAAGAAAGTTAAATGGCTGGCTGCTATTATGGAAACCCAAAAATACAGGAGGACTTTTCATGCGGAACCTTGAATGATAAGGATTATACCAACATTCTCAAAAACTCAATAGGCTTTTAAATATAAAAACTTATGGTCTTATGACACATTCATGAACATTAATCATAAGTTTGAATATTAATGCTTCTGAATGTGGCATAAGATGTTTAACCATCAATCATAACTTTGAATATCAACAAGTAAAAATTCTTTGCCAATCTATCTTGATTTCCAGCTAGTCTCGCTGAATTATGAGAGCGTAATTTGTTATAATTAAGACAATATAATGTTCAAATATTAGAACCAAACTATGTCAAAATTAAAGTAAAACTTTAATACACTGAATATATTAATATTTACTCCTCCCCTCTCCCTTCAGAGTAAAATCCTTCTTTCTTATCAAGATAGAAAATGCTAATTAAAATAAAACTTGTAACATCTACTTCAACCAGTATTAATTATTGTTCAGTTTTTTCACTAAGTACTAGCAGATTTTTAAATCATGAAATGTTAACATCAATTCCTATTTAAAAAAAAATAAAAAAATAAAAATTAACAGCATTTTCACACCCATCAATATATAGGTCTGGAAGTTGCTTTCAAACATACATAGATTACTTGTAACCTTGTATCCATTTCATACACAAACAAACACAATAAATAACTACTCTACCAAACATGCTCCCAGAAATTATTTATAATTTTACTGATGAAATGATATAAGTATTAATATGTTCATATCATTAACTCTATATTTAACTTCAAACCTTATTATAAAATAAACAATTAAGTATTTATTAATATGTTTGTGGTAAAATTATACATATACAATACTTACATTTAACCCTTAACCCATCCCCCATGCATCCTCACTCGATTTTATTTATTACAATATTTATTTTCTTAACTACCATAACAGTATCATTGATTATATAGTTGTATTCAAATTTGGATACGCAATAAGGAATGTAATTAAGCCAGAACGCGACCCGAAAAATAAACTGAAATAATTGCTTCTTATATTTAATTTAAGACATATAACATAATTGTTATAATGTATATTTATATTTCTCACCTTGACACCAATTAAATAATTAAATAGATGCGTACGTACATTCATCATATGGTTGAACTCGTTGAATATTTAAAGTAGTTGAGCTCAAATACAGAGATAAAGTTATAATATTGGTATTTATTTTGTTATTTTATGACAAAATAATAGGTCAATTAGGAATATGATGAAAATGTTTGAGACGCTGATTTTATGCGATCTGTATATATTTCAAGAAAAGTCACCCACAAGTCACAACGGGATCGAGACTCCGCCAAAGTCTGTGTACCCGCTGTAACAAGCAACCATAGAAATCAAAGTTTTAGGACTGATGCCAGACTGCTGTTGACCAGAAAATCTAAAAATGCCATTCAATGGAGGAGATAACAAAGATCTTGCAAGTGACCGTGAGGATTTTCACTCTTAATTATTATAAACTCTAAAAGTCCATAGAATTAATCAAGTCTGAGAATGTGAACCGAAGTACGACGTTTTTTTGAAAGCGACCACGGAATTTCAGCAAAGAAATTGCTTTATTCCCTTCTGTAAATTTTTTTCTTGCTACTTGAAAGATCGAACGAAATGGGAAAGAGTAAAAACTTGAAGGAGTCTCTCTCACGCGCGGACAAACACAACGACAAAGAGACGAAAGCACATAAACGCAGACACGGGAAGACAAAGGACCGAAATAATAGGTGGAGTTACAGAAGAAAAGTTATAGATTTATCGTACGGAATTTTAATATAGAGAAAAAAAAATGGAATTGGAAAATACCTGGAGGCGCTGCAGGACTCAAAGAGCTTGCCAGTAGCTGAGAAAATGATGAGAGCAACCTCGGCGTCACAGAGAACAGAAAGCTCTTCAGCTTTCTTAAAGAGACCTCGCCTCCTCTTAGAGAAGGTGACTTGCCTGGCCGTTACGCTATCAATCTTCTTGATCTTGATCTTTTCTCTCGCCATTCTTCACCCTCCAAAAATCATCAACCCATAACTTTCACATTTTCTAAGTATAAGAAAGTAAGAAACCATACATATAAAATGGAACTAAAAGGGGTAAAAATGAAGTGGATTTTCTTCCAATTTATGAGAGAATCCTAGTAGAAACCCTAGTTAAAGACCCGGTTCAGATCCAGGTTAAGAAACCCAGAAAAAAGTTTTAAAATAAAATAGAAAAAAAACCCACCAATCATAACTCATGAACAAGCAAACAATTACAGAAGAATGACAGATTAAAGATTTTATTGTGTGTGTGTGTGTTTGTTTCTTATTTACCTTCTCGGAGTGGTGTTTTAGGTCTGAACTGATCTCACACAGCTACCAAATGGCACTAAACTAATTGGAGAAAGCGATTTTAAAGAGGGAGAGACATAGTTGTGTGTTCAAGGAACGGAAGGTTCCCTTCCCTTTTATAGCCAAACAGTTCTTTTTTTTTTTTTAAATTATTATCTTCATTTTATTTTTTATATTTATACTTAACTAAGTAATTAAGGTATAGGTTAATAGAGATAGAATAGAACTGATTAAGACACAACTAATGAGACATGGATCAATGCGAAATTTTAATTAAAATTTTAGATAAGTGTTTTTTTTTAGTTTCTTTTATGTGGACAATCGCTTCCCGTACATACATTGCCATGCTGCCACTACTTAATAGGAATAATGACTTGTATCTGTTAATCTCAACCATTTAAAATCCTCACTATTTTTAAGTTAACGACTTGTATTTATCAAAATAATAGTTTAATAACATTTTTTTATCTAAAAATTTTTAAAATATTATTTTATTACTTAAATTTATATTATAACGACGAATAAAAAGTAAACTTAATCTAAACTATAAAGTTTTTAAGAGGAGAAACTTATAAGTCTTTTAATAGTAAAAGATTGAATTTTGGTGGTTGAGATTGATTAGAATTTGACTTAGAAGAGACGGTTATGCAAAATTGGCGATTGCTGAGGTCGATAGGAATAGGATTTGAAGGATTTTGGTGAGTGATGATTGGGGAAGAAAATAGTAGTGATGTGAGGTCACAATGATGTCAGAATCAGAAACGAAATATAAATTTTGTTAATAAAATGATATTTTAAAAGTATGTGTGTAAGAAAGTGTCATTAAGCCATTATCTGGATGCTTAAAAGTCATTTACTCTTTATTTGTTGAGATAAAAGGAGTCACCATTACATATTTACTTGTATTTTGACTATTTTTCCATTCATTTTCAGTTCCAATCAAATGTTTTGTTAATAATTATGAAATCAGATTAAAGCTATATTGAAGCTGGTAAATTCAATTAATTAATATATAATTATTCTATTATGACTTTATTTTATTGTGAATATGAAATGATAGATTGGATTTCAGGGTTTGTATAGTTAGAAATGAGAAGATACTGACTTTTAAAGTTTATTATTTAAGTACTTAATATATAGCTCTAGATAGTAAACTACAAAAATAGCTGCATAACAAATGAACAAAATTTTTACTTTTATTTTTTATGATGAGGCCAAGGTATTCAGGCTAGTTTAAGTATACTTTAGCTAATCTTTTAAGACATTAAAACTATCCATTAGATAAAAGTTATAGTGACAACTTTTATTAGCACCTAAAGATGAACTTGAACTAAGAACTTTTGAATAAGATCTTTAAGAGCTCTTATCGAACCGCTCAACCATCCACGGATAGTTTATGAACAAATTTCGTATACTTGAAATTCATGTAATTTTTCTTTTTTATAATTTGTCTATTATTTTTCTACTTCAAAACGAAAAGTGAAATTAATTTGAAATTATATCATAAATTTGTCCGATTGATTACAAAAATATAAATAAATTACATTGAGTGATGCACACATGTTGATAAAACTTACATGTATTTATATTAGAAATTATCTACATCATCAATAAAAATATTATATTGTATGATTCTTTATTTAAATTCCAGAATATTTGCGCTATTTTTTTCTATCAATTAACTTTTAACGACTGAAATGTAAGATGTTTAATTAATAACTGACTAGTCGCTTAATATTCGATCATATGATTTATAACACATTAGTAAATAAACTTGATAATTTGTTTATTTAAAAACGGGTAAAAATAAAATTTATTATTGGCATAAGGCATAAATTTAAGAATTGATGTGATAGAGATTGCATTAGACTAGAAATAGAATCGTCCATGGCTTTAATATAGTATAGTTTTTGTTAAAGGCTATTGTCACATCAGTCAGAAAATCAAATATTATTTACCAATAAAGAGAAACGTATCAATTTATGATGAATAGATGTATTATTCTTCCGCATAATAGAAAGTTGCCTTGTTTTTTTTTAGAGTAAACGACATGTTCCCACCGGAGGTTCAGCAAGTTGGTATCCTCGTTTCCATTTTTTCATATTCTCACCCTTAAAATAATTTTGTTTCTTTTCTTTTAATAGTTAAAAGCTAAAATAATAATTTCATATATTTAATATTTTCATTTTCTACAAAAACATCTCTCACACCCGGCCACCATCACCACCCACCGCCATTCCACCCATCCACCACCCTCGCAATCCCTAACAACCACCACCAAATCACTCAAAAATTCAGCCACAAACCACCACAAACTCAACACGCAACACAACCAAAATTAGCACACAACCACAAGCAAGAGGCTGACCTAGTTACGGGCGTCGATTGGCGAGCACGCGAGGCGGCGTTGCGCATAAGTCACGCGCTGGTGAGATCTTGCGTAGATTATGTAATGGAGCAAATCGATGCAACTAGAAGCAGTGGCGACGCGAAACGCAAATCTAGGGAAGGGGAAGCATGGAGTTTGCGCGATCTGTGACACGAAGAAGCATGGCAGAGAGGGCGATTGAGGCAATGTTGAGATAGGGGTTGGTAAAGAAACTAGTTAAGTTGCTGAGATTAGGACTGAGAGAGGATTTGATTGAGATGGAGAAATTTGATGAGAATGATGAAAAATTGGAAAGAAACAAAGAGGCTAAATAACAGAGGTATTTGGAAATGCATCCATTTGCCAGTTGTGTGGCGAGATTTGCAGTGCAATTGGAAGTGGGAGATGGGTTGAGGCAAAGAGAGAAAACGACATTCAAGTAAGAGATTTTGGCGAGAGTGAGGGAACCATCAGTTTCTGATGTAGAGGTAGCCACCATTGTTGCAGAAGTTTCCGGCGCCCATGCCAGTCAAGAGATGAAAGAAAAGAAGAAGAAGATATTACATTTTCTACACCTGTCAGAATTTAACAGTAGCTAACGATGTTATTTTAAGGGTGGAAATCCAGAATAAATTAAACCAGGATACCAACTTGCCATTTCGCTGAACCTCGAGTGGGAGCATGTCGTTTACTCTTTTTTTTTTTTTTTTTGGGCGCTATCGTTTGTCTCAATATTTTTTATTATTTATTTAAAATTAATAAAAAATAAATAATTGCTCTAAATAAATGGATATATAGAAGAGGTTATTCAAAGTTGTTGTATGGTATTTATCGTGATTATCACTTTTATTTAACGATGTTATCATTAGGCGCCTTGGTCATAATCAAGTCAATTTACATCATGGTAATATTTTATATGGTCGAATATGATAACAATGATGCTACTTTTATAAAATGGAATTCCAACTTTAAATCTTAATTAATATAGCTATTTTTATACGTCAATATTTAATTAATCTATCAAAAATACAACAAAATTTGACAATTAATATGAAGTATTGTTAGGTCCACAACCTTTTTTCACAACCTTTGATGTGATAGCTTGTAATTGGTTAACTTATAAATAGTCTTGCCTGCTTGCTAAGGGTCCCATCTGCTTATTTACCGATTGATCAATTACAATCTGCCCTGTCAAAGATTGAACTCCTAACATTATTCTTAATATAGTGCACGATGATATTAGCAAAATGCCTCTAAGGTAGCGTTTGGTTCGAGGTGATATAAGATTAATCCTGTAATCTTTGTTTAATTTTCAAGATTCCCTCATTTGGTTGTCAAGTAATAAAAAATTACGTAATCTTTTATTGCAAATAGTGTTTATTGTTGGTAATATTGGAAGTAATCAGATTACCTTTCCAAAGAGTGTTAATATAAGATTACCGAGGTAATCTTAATTTTTACCCTAATTTGCCCTTAATTTTTTATCATTTCGGACACATTTGCCCTCATATGTCTACCAAATAACAATTACCCAAACCCCTTACATTTGAGAATTTAGCTAAAACACCCCCCGCTACAAAAAAAGTTTAAAAGTTAATAAAATACCCCCAACCACCCAAGATCATCGCTGGCTGTCGGTGAAAGTCGTCATATCGATACAAGACCGACAGGATCTTACCAATCATGTGCCGATAAGGACGTTTTCGGCCATGGATTTGTGATCCATGGCCGGAAACGACCAGATCTGGCCGTTTCATAGCCAAAGATTTGGCCGTGAAAAGGCTAGATCTTTGGCGATGAAATGGTCGCCGTTTCACGACCAAAGATCTGGCCGTTTCACGGCCAGATTTATGGTTGTTTCACGGCCATATCTTTGGCCATGAAATCTAGCTATGAAACGGCCATATTCACGGCCAGATCTGGCCGGATTAGGCCTTATCGGTGCACGACCAGCCAGATCCGGCTAGTCGTGCGCCATTATGGCAGTGGCTTGGGGTGAATAGGGGTGATTTTGCTACAAAATAAAGTTATATATGGTTAGAGTGTTTTAGTAAAATTTCAAATATAGGGGGTTAAAAGAAATTATTTAAAAAATAAAAATAAAAATAATATTATATTATTATTTAAAAAGGAGGGCAATTTAGTAATTTATATAACGTACCCACTCATTTATCCTCCTAACCAAACATATTATTATAACATACCCACCAATTTATTTCAACCGACAAAACACATTTTTCTAAAGATTCCCTAGTAATTTATCTTTCCAGTAATACAATATTTTTAAGTAATATAATATTCTCTGAATCAAATACACCCTAAATATTATAGCTAAAAGATTGTGTAGTATCAGCAAAGGCATAAGAATGATAATGATAATCCTAAGTAACAAGTCTGGGATGTGAATTGGTTTAATTCTCACATCAAAGCACATTTGAAGTAATAAATTTTGCATAAATTTAAGAGCGTATCAGAAAAACTATTATAAGACTCGGCGAGAGATTCAAGAAAATTCATCCACTAATAAATATTTTTCATTATTTATATTGATTTTTTGTGGCCCCCAAAAAAAGCGCGTTCGTTAAGTACAAACTAATGAACTGTACATGAAATTACACGCTTGGATTAAACATTAAAAAAAAATTAATATGAATTAATGTTAATGTAAAACTTAAGGGCAATTTTATCAATTCCATCAATGGCA